GGGGAGGAGGCGCTGGGGAGAGGAGAGCTGGGGAGGGGAGGGCAATTCCGAGAGGCAGCGGTGGCCTTTTGAGCCACACTTCTCTTGCTCAGGCCGGCTTCCACGTCTGGAACTGTACTTTCCCTTCTAATAAAACTTTTCTACTATTAAAAAAAGGAAGAAGCAGAGGAAGAGGCAGCGGTACCCCTTGCTCTCCCGAGTAGGCAGGGCCTAGAACTAGAGCCCCCCCAGAAATCCCACCCGCCTGACAACATGACTTACCTAACTCCCCTTTCCTAAGAGGCGGGGCCCATTCTCACCTCCTGGGGGGCAGACTGGCTCTGAGCTGGGGATGGGGGGCGTGGGCATTACATGTGCTTCGTGTTAAAGCCCAACTCTTTCTGTAGCATTGTAACATTGTGGGCCACAGAAAGAAACGCTTCCCAGAATCCTCTCGGAACAGAGTGTCCTTGTGAGCCAGGAGTGCCTCCACGGGGACAGGGGACCTCGTGAAATGTGTCTATTATCTGGTTCTTAGAGTTAAGAGGAACAGGATGAAAGATATGGTGCAAGGCCAGGAGAGTGTAGCTCCCCCGTGCAGAAGCAGGCACACTCCGCCCACGGGCAAGGGGCAGATCGTGGCATCCATCGCCATGCAGGGCCACTGGGGCGTGAAAACCAACAAGAGCCGTTGATATCCATGTGGACAAACCTCGAAAGAAGGCTGCGTGGAGAGACCAAGTTGCAGAAGTGCTTGTGGTATGTATGACCCAGTTTACTGAAACTCAAAACCGGCAAACCCGACAACCCGCTGTGCAGGGCCCACTCGCAATGTGGACACACGTTTGAAGAAAACCAGAGCCACGCTGTAGATGGAACTAGAGCCAGTGGTTACTCTCGGGGCAAGGGAGTACCTGCCGTAGGGAGGGGCATGTGCAGGCGGCCGAATAATGGCCCCCACGATGTCCAGGTCCTAATCTCTGCAGCCTGTGAATGTGTCACCTGATAATGGCAGAAGTGACTGCAGATCAAGTTAAGGACCTTGAGATGGAAGATGATCCTGGAGATGGAAGATGATCCTGGTGGGTTGTCCGGGTGGCCGATGCCATTACATTATAATTGGCAAGCAGAAGGGTCAACAGAGAGCAGACGGCAGTGTGACCACAGGGACAGAGCCTGGAGTGGGGCAGCCAGGAGCCCTGGGAAGTTGGCAGCTTCTAGAAGAGGCCTGAATGGATCCTTCCAGGAGCTTCCAGAAGGAACCGGCCCTGCTGGCACTGTAGTCTCAGCCCCTGAGACTTGTTTTGGACTTCCAGAACTGTAAGAGAGAAACGTGTGTTGCTTTAAGCCACTGGATCTGGGGATTTGGTACACCGTGTGGCCGGCTGAAGAATGACTCCCAAAGATATGAGGTCCTGATCCATGGAACCCATAAATGTGACCTTATTTTGTGATTAAATTAAGGTTCTAAAATGAGGTTATCCTAGATTATCCAGATGTGCCCTAAATGCCATCAAGTGTCCTTATAAGGGGAATGCAGAGGAAGATTTGACACACAGGAAAAAGTCCACGTGAAGCTGGAGGCAGAGATTGGGGTGCTGTGGCTTGAACCAAGGAAAACCTGAGGCCACCAGAAGCTGGAAGACCCAGGAAGGACCCTCCCCTAGAGCCCGTGAAGGAGCCGAGACATCCGTTTCAACCCCGTCGTGCTCACTTTGGACCGGTGGCCTCCACAACTTTGAGAGGGTGGCCTGCAGCTGCTTTAAGGCCCCGTTGCGTGTTCTGCTCCAGCAGCCCCGCAGCAGCAATAGGAGGCTCTCAGGACTGCAGAGGGCTTGTAGGCAAGGTCATCTCAGTGACACGTTTCACTGATGAAACCGATAGAGAGCCTTTAAACAAAGCCACCACCCATTATCCCTGTTTCTGAAGCAACCAGAGCAGTGATAACACGTTGGAGCAAGGATGGAGAAAGCAGCGGACAAAGCCGACTGGCTTTGAGCCACACAAGGCATGTGTCCCAGCCTCTGCCAGGGCGAAGACGGGCATTTTCTAGCCTGGAGTCCACTCCTGGCCCCCACGGCCATCTTCCTGCGTCTCAGAGTGCATGGAAAACAGATGCCGGCACACAACAGGCCGCGGCAGGCTCCGTCCAACCGGACAGTGCCCTGGAGTCAAATGCAAAACCCTGTGTGGACACGGGCCAGAATGGGCAGTACCAAGCCACCCAGTCGGATGGAGCCCGCCACGGCCTGCTGTGTGTGCCAGCATCTCTGACTCTCTTTCCCATGCCCTTTGAGGTGACAGGAATATGGCCGTGGAGGCCAGCAGTGGACTCGGGCCCCAGGTCTAGAAAATGCCCATCTTTGCCGTGGCAGCGGCTGAGCCCCTACTCCTGGCCGACAACCGCTTTAACCCTGCTCGCCTTTCCCAGAGACCTCGGAAAACCCCTGCTCCCCGAGAGCACTGAGCACAGGGCAAGGTGGGTCTCCTCCAACCAGCCCTGCCCGACGTCCCCGCAACACCCCGAGTCAGCCGCCTTCCTGGCGGTCTCGGCTGATGGCACTGACAGCACATCCGTGCTGCCGCACCTGGGAGGGGTGACGGCTGGAGCAACGGCAGCTGTGCTGGGGCAGGACGGACTTTGGAACTCTCCCTCTGTGCCTGTCTTCCTCTCGGCAAGGACCCGGAAGCCGCCACACCCAGGCAGCCCGGTTGTCTCGGTCTAGAATCCGAGAGCAGAATGTTGCTTCTCGCCCAGGGCAAGGAGGGCGAGAAGCAATATTCTGCTCTCGGATTCTAGACCGAGGCGGAGAAGGGCAGTAGTAATAAAAGCCAACACTTGGCAGGAACCAGCCTTTTTTGAGAAGAAATGTGTATGAGAATCTAAAGATCTAAAGAAAGAGGACACAGACCTAGACATGCCATCAAAGCCAGAGCAGAGGGAGCCAGACCCCCACCACAACCCTGCCCCGCGACCAGGTGGCCGCTGAAGAGGGCCAGGCAGCCCAGGACTCGGCTTCTGCCCCTGGGAGCACCTGACGCTGGCCAGAGTAGGGAACGGTCTCAGGCACCCACCCACTACACGGAGAAACGGCCAGAGGGCCCCCTGTGCCTGCAGCACGGCCATCCTGCTGTGAGACTGTGCATGGCCTCATCCAAATTACTGTGTCGGCCAACAGCATCCTGAGAACACCCGGGCAGAGGGAAGGCCCCAAGAACGTGTCATCGTGGAGAGTGGACAGAATGACACAGAGGCCCTGCCCTACGCCCCTCGCTGGCACAGGGTGCACCTGTCCCCATAACAGCTGGGACACCTCTCCCCAGTTCCCCTGACACACACGGCCTCAGTGTCTTCTCAGATCTGCGCTTGCTTTGACAACGTGGCAAAGGGAAGCCTCTCGATCTCTGTCTTTTCAGCAAAACAAATATTATCAAGCCTGTAACTGACATTTTTTTCAGATTCAATATTTGCCTAGATGATTCCTCCTCAAGGCTGTGTGCTCTCTGTCTAGGAAATTATTCCGCTTTGCAGTAATTTTCACGGGGCAATTGAAGACATAATTGTACAAAACACATTTTGAATCTAGACGCTTGAAAAGAGAATTACAAACATCTGGGATGGAATATGGCACTCACGTTTCCACTTTGGGTGGGTTTTGCCAGCAGCGAGGGCCGTGGAAGAAAATGGCAAAGGACAGGGTTGGCGAGCAACTCGCTTTCGGGTTCAGTTCGCATTTCGGTTATGCTTTCTGCACCCTCACCTCGCAGGCCTGCACGCGCCTACGCCCTCCGTTCTGTATGGGGCTTATTGTTTTTATTTCACACAAATGCCGCTTCGATTTGCTGTAGCGCTTTCTCCTGTGAAGTGTATCCCGTTTCCTTGCTGCGTGAGTGTCCTGGGCTGTCACACACAACAGCCATGTACCCTCCCACAACTCCGCAGGCCAGTGTCCGAAAGCCAGGTGTCACAGGGCCGCTCGCGCGGGGCCACCTTCCCGCCTCTCAGCTGCTGGTGGCCCTAGGAGAGCAGGGGCTGAGGCCTGTGTGCCCCGAGACGCAAGGCCGCCGAGGCTCCGGGGCTTTATGACAGCCCTGCCAGGATGTTAGCGTGGACCTGAGCAGTACTTCCGTGAAAAAAAACAAAAGGGAACCGGAAAGGGACAAAAACCCTGAGGCCACGGGGTCCTCCCTGCAGGCGGGGGGGGGGGCGGTGTGCGCCTTCCGTCCCCACGGCGCTGCCAGGCCGCATGCCGCTGGGCTCCTGTCTCCCTGGCTGCAGACCCCGGGAGGAGAGGCCCCCGGCCGACCCAGCGTTTGCGGTCGGCGGGTCAGCGCTTCTTTCTCCTCTCTCCATCCTCAGCTGGGCCGGATGCCCTCATAGGCCAGCAGCTCCTTCAGAGGTCCTGTCCGCTCAGGGTTTGGCTGCTGTCTACTTGCCCACCCCCGTGTGGACGTTTGTCCCCGTCATGCTTCGGGCCTTCGGTGACCAGCAGTGCCTGTGGCCATTCCGCGCCTTAGGGTCCCATCCCCTAGCTCTGCTCCTGACCCCAGGGCCCCTTAAATTTCTAATTCTGTAAACCGTTAGCAGCAACTGAGGACATCTGGGCATTTTCTCACTTCAAGTTATTTTTTTTTTTAATCCCCCTTCTAACCTCCAGTTGCCACAGGGAGGCGCCAAATAGGTACAACCTGGAAGGAGAGCCCTGCCTGGGGTCTCTGTACGGCCCACACCGTCTCATGTCCCTCACGGGGGCCAATAAGGCCCTCATCTGCTGGGGACATACCTGCCGGCCCCTGTGAGCATGCGGGGAGGGGGCAGCAGCGCCTCCGTGTCTCACCAGGAGGCCCTCGGGCGACTGGACTCGAGTTTGAACTGCACCTTCTTCCCAGACCGCCAGGACCCCGCAGTTCAAGGCTGGGCTGTCTAGGGGTCACCGCGCTCCCCACTTCTGGCCCCCACACTTCTTTTCAGGAAAAGGAACCTTTTTCAGTAGGTGACACAGTTCAGGGACCAAGCCTTGCTGCCAATGCCAGTAGGAGCACTACCTCGGGGCGCCCGACACAGGCGAAGAGGCAAAGGAGGCACAGGCCGTGTCGGCCCACACGCCGGCAGGAAGCAGCCGCAGCCCGGCCCAGACTCACGTGCGCGTTTATTGATGATGGGCACCTTCCTGGACCCGCTCAGCGACATCTTCCCACTGGCCTGGGCCTGCTGTGACTGTGGCTCAGTCCAACGCGACTCAGGGTGTCTTTGGCATTTTCTTAGTGTCATAACTTATGGGACATTTTATACCAAAAAATGTAGATTTACAGAAAAATATGCATATAAACCACTTATTAATCTCAAAACGTAGTAAATAACATAGCAAAAACTTTATCAAATCCACTGCGAACACAAGCTGGACACTCCGCAGTGCGTCTGGACCGCGTCTGCAGCATCTCACAAATCGGTGATTTGACATGAAAAGGAGGTTCACTAAAAGGTGATGTCGACGACCCTGATTCGTGTGCCGTTGCTTCTCAGAGTCCCCGGAATTTATACTCACCATGCGCATATCACAGTTCTCATAAAAGCAGTTATTTTAAGGAAAAAGTTGCACTGCACTCACAGTATAAGTGACATTCAAAACTTCATGTGATCACGAGGGGAGCAGAGTCCACCCGTGACGGCATAAGCACACGTTGGATGACAGCGTCAGGCTCGTCCACGCAGAGACACCAAAGTCGAGCGTGAAGTGTCTTCACCGCACCGTGCGAGGGCGGCGGGGTTTCTCGGCCTGGAACGGCCTGCGCGCGAGCCCCTCTCTCCGAGGGTCCAGTGAGGGAGCCACCTGCCCTAGGAGACCTTGCAGCTGCTTCTGGCACCACGCCGGGGCGGGCTGGGGGGCGGGCGGCCGCCCTTCCCTCTGCGGACGCTGCTCCTCTTGTGGGTGGAGCTAGCAGCCAGGGAGAAGGAGCGGCCGTGCATCATCCTGGCGTTGAGACCATCGGCCACGGAGAAGGACTTGAGGTGGCTGCTCAGGGCCACTGGGAGCGGAAGCTTGTCTACCAGGTGCACGGGTGTGCAGGACACCACGGCTCGGCAGCACAGGTCTTGCAAGCTCAGCACTTGGGAGAGAAAAGAAGCCTGGCTGAGTGTCTGCTGTCGCGGACACGGCCGACCACAGGGCACAGGGCTACCGGCGCCCACCCACCTTGCCTCCAAGGTGTCGGGGCTGAGCACTCGCCACTGCCCATGTGCCGCATCAGGCAGGACACGGGGACAGCCCATCCTGCTGCCTTCATCTTAAATTCAGTTTTCTGCCCAAATCTGAGACCCCTCCACCATTTCTCCCTCCAGGCCTTAGAGAGGATGGCCAGCGAGGTCCCCTCAGGACTCATGACCACCGTTTGGGGTTAGCGACCAAGATGCTACAGATGTGCTTCAAAGATAGTGCCCTTCGCAGCTGCTCAGCTCATTGGTCTTATTAAGACATATTCGAGATTCACTCACAAAGCCGCAGTCTACGTTCTGCCTACATTATCCTCCTGGAGAGCGGGCTCCTGGCCCCAGTGACAGCAGGGGCTGCGGGCCCGCTGAGGAGCGGACAATATGTCTCAGCCCTCTGCAGTCACAGCAGCGCCGTGGCCCCTGCGTGTCACACAGAAGAAACACAAGGTGGGGATTCGGCTCATTTTAAAACTCAGGTCCCTACAAACAGCTCCTTCAGAACACTGGTTGTCGATGGGAGGGACCGTGGCTCCCCGGGACGTCTGGCAGTGTCTGGAGACATGTGTGGCTCTCAGCTCAGGGGTGCTGCTCGACACCCCGCAGCACAGAGGAGACGCTGTGCAAAATGACCATGGGCCCTGGCTTAGGAGAAGATATTTGCTCAATCCACACAGTTCCACGAGTATAGATCTTGTCTTTCCAAAGTAACGTGCCTACGAGTTACTCGGAGGAGAACAGTGACGGCCACCGTGTCACAATAGGTTCCCCAGTGTTTGGATACATTAACCCTGAGGAACCTGAGTATTTTATTCCACCTGCAAGTCACAGGGCACTAAAAATGCCCTGCGCATTCATTTCACAAGCTCCTCTCTCTAAGCACAGTGAGCAGGCAGCGAATCCTTCCCAGTGTGGAGTGCTCACCGCAAAACCATTGGTGTGAAGGCCGCATGGAGCACTCACTGCCCCAGGGGTCTCTCGTCACAGGCGGGGTCCCGCACTGCCCAAGGACGTGCCAACCCCTCCCCACAGACGCCTGCAGCCACCTCGCTCACAAACGCCTTCACCTCTGCCCGCATACAGAAATGCCCTCGAGGGCCTGCTGGCAAGGCAAAGCCGCAGTGCAGCCTCCCTCTGGTTCTCACACCTCCCCCCAGGGAGGGGCACGGTGTCCCCAAGGCGTGTCCCCCGAGGCCTCAGCCAGCGCCTACCCTTGCTCGGCCTCCAGAGCCCATCCATGCCGTGCCGCAGCAGCACGGTCCTGGCCAGCTCCATGAAGGACTCAGTGATGTTGAAATTGCACAGAGGGCTGACCTCGAAGAAGGTGACGCCGAGCCGCTCCGCGTAGGCCTGGGCCTGCTCCGTGGGGACCTGCCGCTTGAAGGCAAGGTGCAGGCGGTTTCCCACCAGGATTTTGGGAACCCCAGGGGCGTGCTGTAGGGCGAGAGGCAGAGGCGTGGGTTACGCTGCGAGGTCTTATTGTTGGCGCTGTGCGTGTGTTGGCGTGATCGGCGTCCCCTGGGAGTGCACGGCCACCCGTGACCTCCGCGTGTGTCCTCACTGGGTTAGGGGTTCGCAGATGTAACTAGTGAGGCTGGAACACTGCCGTGGGCCCTACATTCGGTCACTGGTGTCCTAAGAGGGGAGGACACAGGGAGGAAGGCCAGCTGACCACAGAGGCAGAGACAGAGACCGTCTACAGGCCAAGGGTCACTGGCAGCCCCCAGAAGCTGGAAGAAAGGGGAAGGACCCCCCCACCGGAGTTTTAGGGGGAGCGTGGCACCATGATGCCTTGATCTTGGTCTCTGGCCTCCCAAATCTTAGAGAATGAGTTTCTGTTATTTTAAGCCACCCAGTTTGTGGTGATTTGTTAAGGCAGCTGCTGTAAACTGATACACTGCATGTGGCCCCGGCCACTCCATGTCCCCAATGGCAGTTGGGCTGGGAAAGGGGCTCGCGGGCAGCAGCCGATCACTGCCCGTCACCCGCCTAACCACGTGCAGGACCAGACTCCTGGGCCTGGCAGTTTTCTGATTAGGGCCGATCCTGTGCTGGGAGGTGACACGTCCTCCCTGTTGCTCAGGCCTCGTGCCCAGGCCCACCTGCCCTGGCCCTGGCCCTCACCCTCACGAGCCCACACCGTGTGGAGGCGTACCTCGTCGATCTCTTTAAGCCACCGGTCGATGCCATCGAAGGACCAGCGGTTTGCGATGTCGTAGACCAGGACCACACCCTGGGGAGAGGTGCCAGGCTGACCTTACCGGACAGGAGAACGTGCAGTCCTGGGCCGCAGCTGGCGTGTGGGCACTCGGTCACACGCCCACAACCAGCGAGGTGACCGCTGTACTAACTCTAACACTGGACTTATTTTGATTTGTCTGCTGAACATAGCAGTTATGTGATTATTCCTGTTATTGCGGAAACCCACGGACAAGCCCTCAACCCTCAAGGTGAGTCAGGGACTGGAACCCGATCCCTACCCACGAGCCGCTCCAAGGACATGGAACGCAGGGGGCTGCATGGCCACCGGCTCAGGAGGAGCAGAGCCCAGCCGGCTGGGCAGAGTGCTCACGCGCATACCCAGACACACACAGGCTCATGAACAGAGATGCATGCACACATGCACACAAACACGTGCATGTGAGCACAGATGCGCACATGTGGACACGCACACACACACATGAACACATGCGCACAGACAGGCACAAACACATGCACACGTGCATAGACATACACCACGAATACAGGCATGCATGCATGCACACATGTGCATGCACACAGCTCACATGCATGCATGTACGAGCACACATGGACACACGTGCAAGTGAATACGTGTGTATACGTGTGCACCCAAACACAGCTGTGCAACACAAACATGCATGCATGCACACATAGCCCTCACACAGGTGCATACACACAATGCATAGAACACCCATGAACACATGCATGTGCTTGCACACACCTTTCACACATGCTGGTGTGTGCACGATTGCCACACACATATCCATGCGTGCGCATGCACACATGCATGCATACAGCCCCGGTGCTGAAGAAGGCTTGTGAGCCCCCAAACATGCCAAGGCACCCCTCCAGATGCTGGCATCAATTTACATGTAGAGCTTAAGTGCCTTATCGTGTAAGTGTCCATCAGGGAGCATCCCAAATGCCAGCGCGAGCTCCCCGCTCAGGAGGTGTTACCTGTGCGCCCCGTGAGTAGGAACGGAATATGGTACAGAGCCTCCCCTGGCCGGATGCCTCCCTGGAAGGGAAGGTGCTGGGTGAGGGGACGTCGCCGCCTATGCC